TATCCTCACCCATCGCCCGCCACCGCGGCCGGGCCCCGGCGGCGGTCTACCTCCTCGCTGGCTACCGCCGCCACCGCGGCTGCCACCGCCCGAGCGACGTTCCTCGACGCCCTCTCTCGAACGCGCGCGCCGCAGTTGCTGCTGGAGACGACATTGCTCGTTGGTGTGAAGCTCGGACTGGTGGTAGCGGCAAAATCCGCCGGGTTCGTCGTTGAACATGTCACTATTTTTCTTCTCTCCGTCACGATTTTGGCCGCCAGCTGCTGCGTGACCCCCGTCTTGACCCCCGGATGCCCCCCCACTGCCCCCGCCGCGCCGGCCCATGCCGGACGCGGCGAGAGCGAGCTCCACCTCGCGCCTCTCCCCCTTGCTCCTCTCGCGCTCCATCTCCACGTGGGCGTCCCTCACCACAGTCTCAAGGGTACGCAACGTCAGGACATCATGGGCAAGCAGTATTCCTTTTTGCACGGCATACAACGAAGAGGGAAGGCCACGAGCAATGTCTTTGTTGGCATCTGTTTCATCCTTAATCGTGCCTACAGATGCGAGACGCAGGCGAAGGGCCTCTGAGCGGGCAATGTAATCCTGTGGACTCTCGGACTCTTTCATCTCCAACTCCTTCCAGCCCTGCTCCAACCTCGACTTTTCTGACTGCTTTTTCTCCTGATAGAACTCTGTCACTATTTTCCAGCCTTTTTGAGGACTCTCACACGCCAGAATCAAGCTCTGAATCGGGGGATACAAAACCTTGCTGATAAGGATATTCCACAATTTGAAAGATTTGTCTACCACTTCATTACCAAAAAGTCTCCGAAGGTCTCCTACATTCACACCCCTTTTCCCGACCTTGACCTCAACCTCCAGTTCCAACGCATCGTGCACACCCTCCTCCTGAAAATATGAAATCATCTTACCACGAAAAATATCAAACATAATGTACAGATCCTGCTCCTTCTTCACACTACCAAGCCAAGGTTCGATTTCTGAGCCTGGATTGACACGTAACGTGCCTGAGCGGGCAAAGCCCTGTTGTTCAGCGATGGCCTCAGCTGTCGCCTTGGCCGCTTGCGCCACGATGTGTGCGACGCTGCTGGGGTCGTTGAAGGAAGGTGTTTTACCCTGGCTGGAGGGTGATGGCTGGCTGCCGGTAGGTGGGACCGGGTTGCCGGCAGGTGGTGGGACGTAGGTGACTTCACCCTCGTTTATCCTGTTGGCTTCGAGTTCGGCTTGCACTCGTTGCTGGACGATCTCCTCCACTTTTTGCTGTAGCTCTTCCCCGCTAAGGGCGGAGAGGTCGATGCCCTCCATGGTGTATGTTGTTGTGGGAGTCTACCGATTGCGCGTGGCTGCACAACCCCCGGAAGGCTACGCCCGCGCGCAGATACCGTGATATCGTGATATCGCACTAGTGTGAAAGGTACACTACGCGGGGTGCAGCAAGCTCGTTCTGGACGTTACTTGGGGCACTGGGTAGTCGGCCGTGTTAGACCGAGAGAGAGAGGTTGAGAGAGAGTTGGAGAGAGAGTGGGAGAAGGAAACTTGATTGGAGAGAGACGGTGGTGGTGGTGGAGAGAGAGAGGGAAGAAGTGCGCAGCACGCACGCAAGCTCCATCGCACCAACCACGCCAAAAGGATCCCCGTGACTGCACCGATGGTACCCTACTACACACGAAATTCCCAACACGTATCCTCTGGGATCCTCACGACCAGATACTGCTGCGAATATATCTAACATCCCCAAAATCCATCAACTCTTCGCAGCCGTTGAGGGTCATAAGAGTTGGGGACCCTCGGAGAACAGTAGTCTATTATCACATATTCCCTCAGATCCTACTCTTATGTACGTGTATCTGTGCTCCCTGAATCTCCATATCCTGACCTCCACATAGCCCCCCTTTTTCTCCGCCGAAAGCTCAGCTTGTTGAAGTTGGGTTTTGGCGCACATGCATCTTTGCGTTTTTCTTGTAGTGGAGCAGGTATGGATGTATCATTGGATCCAGATACAGCTCTTTGAAAATTAAATCTCTCCCTCACTATCCGAAGACAGCTTACAGTGCCGTGTGGAATACACACTTGTCGGAAACAACACCGTACGGATTTAATCTCTCCAAGGCTTGTACCTGTTGATTGGTTCCAAGCCTAGTGCTGCTGGATAAGCACGGCTGACCAGGTTGACAGGGATGAAGAGATGGTAAAAAAGTCGTTTTATTAGGTTGCCCTCGTGGACAGGCAACAGGAGAGAATGGGCGCCACGTGCGCCACAAAGCATCAAGCAACAGTCGCAAGAAATTCACCGACGAAAAGACGCGCAGACTTTCTGTAACACGGAACAATTCCAACTACCAAAGACATGTCGGGAGATACCCCGAAGATCCACGCCCGTGGAACGGTCACTTGCACACGTCTCGCTCTCAAACCATACGTGAGTACTACCGCAGTAGCGTTCGTAAGAATGACATAATCCACCTCACGGACAGTACCAGCTACCAGGTATTGATGTCAATCAATGATGTGTCAAAGCTTTGACTATTGTTATTATTGCCCTCCGACAATTGAAGATGTTTGCACTAAATAAAGTTCTAAAACGTTTCACTCAATGATGTATACCCCTTACTATTTCTATCTTCATGCTCATACTTGTACCAATACGATATTGCATGCACGTCATGTTAGTACTACCTACCAATGCCGAACTTAAAACTGAAGGAAATCATAACATTATTGATTGAATTCAACATTTCCTCCGTTCTCCTGTTACTTCCTTTGTGAAAATTCCAAAACCTTGTCTCTCCAAAACTCTGACAAGAAGTTCCTGTCGTTGAACCGAAATCTTGTGAACATAATCTACTACTAAAACGACATTTCTTTTAGTATATGTGATGTACCTACCAAATGCTTTGTAACAACTATACCTACGCTCATAAGATAATCCATTACATTCCTACTATTACAGTGCATCGACACTACATCCCCAAATCATTGGTGTCGATGTGTTCGGTGTCGATCTTGTTCGTTGGTCCTCCGCTTCTTATCGTCCACGTAATGCGAGCTTGTATCTTTGTACCCTCCTTGATATGGCCACCTGCGTAGCCACCGAAACGACCTGAAGTAGCCTCTCCTTGTAGACTCCTTTCTGGGTCATCGTTCCTCCATGCCTCCCTCCTGCAGCGTGCGTCGCTAGTTCGTCGATGAATTCGTAACCCTCCTCTCCAAGGTGGCCAAAGCTTTCCACCGCTAAGGTGGTAAGTTTATAGCTGCGCTCGTCAAAGGACACGTGTCCTGGCCGAGCGTAGTGCTGACGCTTTCGCGCCTCGGAGGCTTGGGCGGCGGTTCCATCGCTGGTCGCGCTGCCATTTCGCAAGTGTACTTGTGCTTGACTATTCTTGTTAAGTATCAAGAATTTGTACTTTGTGCGGGTTCTGGTTGTTCGCGTAACCATACCGCTGGGTGTAAGCAATCGTGTTGCTTATTGAGTACGATAGGCATACGGTGTTCGACAGTCTTAAGAATGTTTTCGTGCCTCATGATTAGTGTCCTCGAGTTGCGACCCTCAATTCCACCTGAGACCGGTTAACTTGACATTTCCTCGCCAGCATTTATTTGACCCAACCAAATGCTGGATAGCAACCTTATTGTTTGGGAGCTATTCCTTTCACCGTTTCGACACTTTGGAAATGTATCTTTCGTTTGCCTTCGGACTTCGTTTACTTTTCCGCTGAGTACTTTTCTTGTTCACGCATTTTGCTGGCTTGGTACACGACGTGTTTGGCCTTGCTTTGTGCTTTGCGCGTTTGTTTGTACTCGGATCCTTACCTTCGTCGCGTTTTCGTTTCACTTTTTTCTACGGCACATCGGACGATTCCTTGGCCGGCGCGATGTCCAGATCATGTTTTGATCTGTACGCGGAAATCATTTCGTGGCATTGCGGCACTTCGTCGGCACGATACATCAGATCTGATTCAGGACCGTATCCTTTCAGCCTTACACGGTATCGATAGTTGTGCGGACCTTTCGGTCTCGACCGCTTCGATGCCCTACCACTTTCAGTACGACGTATCTTTCAATTTTCGGTTTATTTTCGTCGTTTGCTGTCAGGGCAGGCAAGGGAATTTGTTTCCCAAGGAAATATTCCGCCAGCTTTCCAAACTGTGGTGCTGGTGGTTTCCCCTTTCATGGTACTGTTTTAGATGGGCAAGATGCACGGGTATTTCTCGTGTTTCATTGACTCGCTTCACCCGATACACAACTGGCGGCAGTTGTGAGCAGATGGTATATGGTCCTCGCCACGGTAAGAACAGCTTCGGATTTGGTCCATCCATNCCAGATCATGTTTTGATCTGTACGCGGAAATCATTTCGTGGCATTGCGGCACTTCGTCGGCACGATACATCAGATCTGATTCAGGACCGTATCCTTTCAGCCTTACACGGTATCGATAGTTGTGCGGACCTTTCGGTCTCGACCGCTTCGATGCCCTACCACTTTCAGTACGACGTATCTTTCAATTTTCGGTTTATTTTCGTCGTTTGCTGTCAGGGCAGGCAAGGGAATTTGTTTCCCAAGGAAATATTCCGCCAGCTTTCCAAACTGTGGTGCTGGTGGTTTCCCCTTTCATGGTACTGTTTTAGATGGGCAAGATGCACGGGTATTTCTCGTGTTTCATTGACTCGCTTCACCCGATACACAACTGGCGGCAGTTGTGAGCAGATGGTATATGGTCCTCGCCACGGTAAGAACAGCTTCGGATTTGGTCCATCCATATCCTGGTGTGGTCGGTATACGAGTACTTGTTGACCAGGTTTAAAGACGGGGTATTGCGGTAACTTTTCGTTTTTCGCAGCTTGCTTCAATGCACGTTCCGTGAGGTTTCTTCGCGCTAGCTCGAAAGAAGTTTTGTAGATTTCTCGTTTTTTGAGCAAAACTCTCGGTATCTGCAGTTGATCCTACGTGGGATTCCGAGAATTACATCTACCGGTAACCGTGTCTGGCGACCAAACATCAAGAAGTACGGTGTCTCATGCATGGTTTTATTAAACGACGTATTATACGCTAGTTGAACCATTGGCAGGAGATCCGCCCAGTTGTCACGATTCATGGAGCTATGCATTGCGAGCATGGAATGCATCGTTGAATGCACACGCTCAGAGACCGAATTACCTTGCGGACGATACGGCGTCGTGCGTGTTTTCTTGTAGCCCAAGATTGTTTGCAACTGATAGATTATCTTGTTTCGACTTTAGTGCCTTGATCAGAGTGCAGCATTTCAGGCGGGCCAAAGATACTGATAATCCTATCAATGAATACATGTGCTACGGTTTCAGCAGTTTTGTTTGGAACTGGTGTGAGAATTGCATAACCCGTCAGGTGGTCCATCATGGAAAGCACGTATTTGCATCTCACTCCGACTGCTGACATTGAGAGAGAGTGATTTATTTGCATCCGACGAGGTCGACTGATACTCTTTCAAACGGACGCTGTACAGGCACGTGACCCGTCGGCAGTTTGGACGGCGGTGAGGTGTATTTCTCCGTTGAAAGGCCTGGCATTCTAGGCACCAAGTCCGGATGTCACGGTTCATCGACTGCCACCAATATTTTTGTCGTATTTTTTCGTACGTTGGACGAAATGCGAGGTTTCCACCTGAAAGAGCGTGATCATGGTATGCGTGCATCACTAAACCGGTGAGGTCATGTGGGACTACAAGTTGATCACTAAAAGTGCTTCGTTTTCGTAGGTGTCCTGGCAGATACGATTTAAACAGTTAACCGTCTTCTCTGGAATAGTACGACATTGATGTTGCCGTATCGTTGTCTGGTAGCGGTGCTTTGGCGTCTACAATGTATTGGACGTATTCGCCGTATTCTTCGGCCTGTTTCTCGCGCAGTAATGATCACCAGATTCAAATACTTCCGTGGCGCTGACGAAATTTGAATTGACTGTGAATAATTCCCTATCGCTAAGGACTGGTTGCACACCATCCATTTTTTCAGTCGAGACTTGGTATGGTCTGGTTGGCGTGTGTTGTTGCAGCTTTGGATCGTCCGGTACATTTCGGCAAATCGATGCAAGGTTCGGCGCAGTTCGTCCTTGTTCATTATCGAACACGAAAAGTCGCGATAACGTATCCGGCACTACATGCAACTTTTCCGGTTCATGTTTTACCGTGAAATCGAAGGATTGCAGTGCTATTGCCCATCTAGTGGGCATATTTGACGTGTCTTGCATCGTATAAAGATATCGCAATGCCGCATGATCAGCTGCGCACATAAAATGTCTACGCCAGAATCAAGGACGCCTGCGTTGAATTGCTAGACCAACAGCATAGCATTCCTTCATGGTGGCAGAGTAGTGTTGTTGGCTTTTGCTGGATCGCTGGCTAAAGTATGCTACGATATTCACGTCATCGCCATTCTGTTGTGCCAGGAATGCTCCTGCTCCCACTTCAGATGCGTCTACGTGAATAACAAACTCTTTAGAGAAAACCGGAAAATGCAAAACAGGAGCGTTGGTGAGTAATCATTTCACTTCGGCAAATGCTTCATCATGTTTCGGACCCCAGCGTTTTGCTACCGACTTCACTGCGTCTTTCTTCGTAAGGTCAACCATTGGTGCGGTGACGGCGGCTAAGTAAGTCTGGGATGAATTTCCTGACATAGTTGACCGTTCTTAGGACTGATCACAAACTTTTGATGTTTGTTGGCGTTGGCAACCTCTAGTATCGATTTTATCCGATCTTCACCTAAACGTATGCCATCTGCGGAAAGAGTAGACGGATTCCACCTCGGGAAAAAACGCACAAAAACAACGTGTTTCGCCAATAAAACGTGCTTCGAGGTTCAGCCACGCCTTTTCGTACGAATTTCTGCAGTCCAGGTCGTCTGTTTTTTTTTCCATTTGGTGCGTTTTTTTTTTCGCGTTTGAACAAAACAAACTTCATGCGCGCACACGCACACATCCACTTTACCGCACGACACGTACTCCGAGAGCATAGCTATCAATCCCTGTGGCAACTGGTGTGGAACCGGCACGCGTTGGGGTTATTTCCGGTGAACGTTTGTGTTGAAAAGAACGTGCTGGGTCGTGCGTGGTGGGCATGGTTGGGACAGCTTTTCACCCGCACCAGTGACCGCGGTAGCCACCTCGTCTACAGCGGACTTCGTGTGCATCCCCGCCCCTCGAGGGTAGTAGCGATTCATCAGTTACACCAGCGGTCCAGTGCTTGGAAGTCAGGGTTAGCACAGTTCACCCGGCTGTGTGGTTCGAGTTGGGAGCGTGGTTTGAGTTGGAAACGCATTGGAANTCTCCTGCGGCGGACTTCGTGTGCATCCCCGCCCCTTGAGGGAGGTCGCGAGTCATCAATCACACCAGCGGTCAAGTGCTTGGAAGTCAGGGTTAGCGCAGTTCACCCGGCGGCGTGGTTCGAGTTGGGAGCGTGGTTTGAGTTGGGAACGCATTGGAGTTGCCGCATTGCCACTACCGCCAGGACGAGGAAAAGCTCCTCTTCTCCAGCCACCGCACACGGCAGAGCTGCCGTAATCATCTGCATGATTTGGCCATGACTCTCATGCCGAATCTTACCACGCTGTAGGCGCGCCATTTGCTTCAGGACGTCAACTCGCGTGCCAACATCACGCCAAATCACGCCGCCGCGTGTTCCGTGTTTTGCGGAAATTAAAAAAAAAAGTGGGGGTACTGATGTCCGAAAAAATATCAAGAGCACGGGGGTGGGTTCCAACCGGCACTAGCGGGGAGACAGCGAAACACGAATTTTCAACCGTCACTTTCTGAAACGCGTTTTTTCAAACACGTTCTTTTCGTGCGTTTTTTAGGTGGAATCCCTAGAATGTGTCTGCCTCTCTCGATCGAGCCCCCCAGTTCACGCCCAGCACCTACAACAGTCACCGATGAGAGGCCTGATGTGTGTTTGTCTGCTGTTATATACCAAAGGTTTGTGTGAGCAAGGGAGTGGCGTGTGGGTGCGACCATGTGTACTCAAGTGCATGTGGGAGATACCAGTAGGTGTGTAGATCTAGAGAACGGGAGACGGTGGTTGAAATACGTGTGTTCCACAGCCTCGGCCTTGATGATGTCAGCGGTCTCTTCGCCCAGTTGAGAAAAAAAAATACTCGGAAGATTCAAGGAAAACCCAGTTACATAAGGTTAAAAACATTATTTGCATATTTGGCATACATCCTACCTATATCGTTGCGGTTTACAGAGCAATTTTGGAACCATCTTCCTCTACAATGAACGACGCTTTTCGCGAGACTCGTCGTTGTTGACATTTTCGTGTTTAGACCGCACCTTGAATTCCGCCCCGTGGAAACATGCCCTCGTGCTGCTAAGGAGATACTGAAAATGATGTCACTTATTTTTCCATTTCCGTTGTACATAGTCTATGAAATTAATTGAAATCACCACTTTTCTTAACCCACGGTCAATCAACAATGTTCATCCAGCGCACCAAGAAAATGTTGATGGGTCGTAGAGAGATACTTTATCATGACCACGCCGCTCATCATGCAGAACCTCCAAAGAGCGTTGGATGATTCCGGCGTCACCATGACCGGCGTTCATACCTGAATGCCTACATGCCTATGTGGACGAGGGTCTGGCCGTCCTGGGTATGGATCACCAGATGAACACCAAAAAGGTAGGTTGTTCCCGCGCAAAGCAGACATCCAAGGCGTTATGCATGCCTCCGACAAATTGCGAAGCAAAGCTTCAGGCGAAAAGATCACACTAAGTATAGGGGATATGAAGTGTCTGCTGTTCAAGAATGCAATAATTTCAATATATTTCAACGGCGAGCGCATCTACCACACCTGGCTTCGAATTTTTCAAATGAGCTCGAATAGACCATGCTGTGTGTGCCGGTCGAAGACAACGCGTGATCACCACACAAACTGCGACGTGTGCCAGGCGATTTGCTGTCTCCCATGCGATCGTGGCATAGAGTCGGGGGCTTGCCCCGTGTGCCGTTCCCCTGGAATGTTTATTCGAAGCAGCGGCAGTGGGCCACCATGCGCTCCATCTCCGTCAAATCAAATATTAATTCCAATCAACACGGAATGCCCCTCCACATCCCCATCGCCCAAACCCCATTAGGCAAACTGCTCGTGCCTTCCTGTTCCAAAACCGAGGGCCCATTCACGTGCCTCGATTGTGCCCACAAGTTGGTACTACATAAGACAAGGCAAAATCAAAGTCGTTTACTTCGCGCGCCGCCACCTGTCGCCCGACTGTTCCGGCGGGGGAGAATCGGCCCTCCACAAGGTAGCCAAGCTGTTCATCAACAAATACTGTTCGCGGCTGGTTTTCAAGGGGAAGTGTGTTACAGGAACGCACGAAATCGCACGACAGTACACAGACTGATAAGCGAAGATGACGCGAACAGAAACTACTCGGCGGGCGTAGCCATCTTCTGTCGTGGAGGTTTGCGCATGCCACGCGACCACCGGCGAGTCACTAGAATCTCGAACGGCTCTCGTCAGCGTGAACAACGTGTGGGAGATTTCGGCCGTGGAAATCCTCAACCGGCCGGCGGACTTGTTCGCAATGGCGCACGCAGTCGAAGTCCGCTCCCTGTTGGTTCATGACCCGGAAGGGTGCTTGTGCAAGCAGTGCCCGGGTTGCATATGCTCTCCATAGCAGCGGCGAAAGCAGGGCGTGTGATGCGTGCAGCTGCGAGTGGAATGAGTGGGTGGGTGAGTATAATTTCGTTGCAGATCACATGGATTTCTCGTTTGCGTACAAACACCTTGATGGCATCCCTGAGTGCAAGAGCGGTGAGCTGCCCAAGTTTGAAGATATGGCACACAAACGATTCGACAGGTATATTCATGGTATCTCTTGGATGACTTTAGACCTTCGGGGTGCTACCCGTGAGTTACATTTTGCGCCGTACAACCACCGTGGCACAGAGTCTCCAGCAAAGAAAAGGCTCGGCAATATGAACCGAGCGCTCCATATTCTTACCCCCGTGTTCAGTCGATTCTACGTGCTATGAAAATGGAAATCATGGTTCCATCAGACGGTCAACGAGAGGGAGTTTGAGAATGCCATCCAATAACATGGAAGGGCAGGTATCATTTAACTGAAACTAGAAGGTTGGATAATTACACTGATATGATAAAAGACCTGGAAAATTGGACGGTTCGCTCAGGGTCGCCACTGAGTTGAATTGTGTATCGTACATCAAACAAACAATAGCGAAGCCATTGGTGCCCATTGAACCTCCTATTGCACGAGCGTAAAATAGCTGTTCGACCACTTATTATCCGAACCGAAAAAGTCCTGAAACGGTTGCTGGCACTGGTTTCGAAGCAGACCAGCGTCCCCTACAAGCGCGTTTCTGGCAATCGGAAAGCTCAAGTACGCTCCGCCCCCTCAACCACCGCCACAGAGAGCCGGCACCGCCGGCACCGCCTGTACCAGCAGCACACAGCCGCTTATGTCGCGACCAACACCCCCCATCAAGCGCTACGCTACGCCCCACGGTTTGACACTCTGTGCTAATGCCGTAGTCTAACTCGACCGGGAGACCCAACGCTTCCTCTTTCCTTTCCTGTCCTGCTTACCCCGCTCCCACTCGGGAGGAAAGCTGGCATAGCGAATCGTCACTTCTTCCCCTGCTCGTACGTCTTGAAAAGTCACAAGTGAGCACGTGTACCAGGTTGTAATCACCGCGTGCCCAGCTTCCGTTGGTTCATACCAGTCGGAAGCTGCCGCTTCGCTCAAACGTAGCTCCGCATTAGGCGAGCTGCAAAGATGTAGGAGACGAATCACCCTACTTCCCATGTCTTCCAGGCACTCCATCAGGTTGCCTCGGAAAAGGGTACCTGGGTCGATGTACACGACTCCGCTCTTATCAGCATGCATCACATAATAGCAGCAGTTGTACCTTTCGATCGGAAAACAATCGTTGAATTCGGAACTAGGCAACACCGACGTATGCACTGTTTAGCTTTTGCACGCGCCCCGCACGCCCCCTGGCCTTCAATCTGGCTTGGCCTCGTGTCCATTTAGAACGATCCTTTAGCCACACAAAGAGCACCTCATCATGCATAGATCGAAAGTCAAGGGCCGCCATTTCTTTCGGTCCGTCCTGATCTTGGGCTTGTTCCCTACAGCGGCGTGACAACCTTACTCGTGGGGCCTTGGATTGGTACTTCTCATTGGCCCTCGAAGCACGTTCGATATCGGCCTTCACTCTATCCATGTCCGTTGGTAGCTTCTCGATCGCCTGCCGATCAAGATGTACACAATCCCTGCCTACTCTGCCTTGTTGGGTACCTTGATCTCCCTTTTGCTGTTGCTTTTGCTGTTGCTTTTGCTGTTGCTTTTTGTTGCTTTTATATTTCTGGCTGTCTGTCCGTCTGCCACCTCTTTATCCTGTTTGCCCCGTTGTTCCCATGCCCTGGCGCGTAGTGCCTGGTGCTGGTACGTTACCCTTTGATTTTTTAGGCGAGTGTGGGAAGCGTCCTTCTTTTCACGTTTATATTTTTTTTGTTTTTGTTTGATCGATTTCCTAGGGTTCTTTTCTCAACCGGTCGGTGCGGTAGCTATTCTTTTCTGTCCATCATTTTTGTTTCCTTTTTCCGATATCAAACCATCAATATTGGCCAGATTTTAATCGTATTTTTGCTAATCTTTTAGTTCTTCTTAAAATTAATCCATAAGCGCCAGGCGCTCTTATTATTTTAGCGTTTTCTCCTGGAGATAGACTTAGGTTATGGATTAAAGTTCCTGTCATAATGTAGTGTGTACCCTTTTATTTATTTCCCCGCGGCGTCGTATGTGCCGGGTTTTTACGACCACGGGCTCCCCATTTTATTTGTGGACTATAGAGCTAATGTGAGAAACAACAGCAACAACATGGGGATCGCTCCGTGGTGCTGTCATGTGCAGGGGACTAGCGACAAGCACTGGCCATTACAACCTGGACACACTACAAACTGTCATCGACCCACCTCTTGTGCCTCCCGCTCGCGTTCCTCAGCGGCCTCTTTTTCTCTGACTGCTTCCCCTGCTTTTCCCCTTTGGATTTGAGCTTGTTCTCTCTCTCGCTCCAACGCCTCGTGTGTCGGTGCGAGCTGTCGTAGCCGTTGCCGAGTCGCGCGTGGAGGGAGGACATCAGTTCATGCAGCGCTTTTGGTGGCAAAATACACACACACACACGTTGTCAAGCCACTCATCCACCCAACCAGGCTGCTCCACCGCAGGGAAATCGCCTGAAATGTCGACCTCAGGGATCACAACACAATCGTTCCCACCGCTCTGCCCCCTGTCTCCACCGGAACCTGCCGCTGCTAGAAAAGTAGCTTTCGCTACGTCCAGCATACCGCCAGCAGCTGCTGTCGTCGAAGCCTTTTCAGGCCACACGGATGGTTGCGACGCTGATACGATCATTTGCCCTTTTTACGGCCTGTCATTCCGCTTTCTCCGTGTGGCTGGCAGTAGGTGCGTTTTCCTCCGTGTCCGTAGTCGGCTGTTGAAGTACAACCCGAACGAGCACACACACTTTCAGCTGCAGATTGACCATGCCATCCTCTGCGTGGCGAGAACAAAGCTGTTTTTTGTTTGCAAGCCGAAACCCAAACGAGGGGCGCTTCTCACTCCCACTGTGTTCGCGCGTTTTTGATCTAACGCTGGTCATGCCTTCCGTCTTACGCTCCTGACACACCACTGCTGTCTACTTCCCTCCTGCGCCTGCAGTAACCGAGGAGCAGGACAGGGTACGATGGAAAAAATGCGGTGGATTTGGGCTACATTGTACAGAGTACTTGTGCAGTTGTTCAACTGCTGCGCCGCGTAAAAACAAACAAGGGCATTGAGAGGAGGGGTCCGTGCTACCCTTGTGGCGCTCGCCCTGTGTCTCTTGCCTTCGCCGCTACCCACAGCAGCAGCATGCTATTTAGGTCCGCAATTTTCATCTGTGCTCGTCCAGACAGCTGCAATCTGCAACCCGACCTAGCAATCTCTTCACCTTTGTAGCGGGAGGATCCATGCACGTGAAAGCGCAGCCCCCTCATGGCGTGGTGTGTGGTGTGCTTAGAAGTGCCAACTTGCGTGAGGAGTCCCAGGGGAGTAACTCACAGGGGGTTTCGCGGTTCGATACGTGCAGCAGCTTCGTATATATGATTAAGAACCAGAAACGGGTATACCCAGGTGGATTATCACCATTTCAGGGTACGCTTGGAAATCAACACGACGCAAATCTCCGACAGCATCCGCCGTACATCGCGGCCCAACCAATAAACCGCTGTCTGTGTCCCGTGCCTCGGAAGCATGATGCACGAGGCAGGTCGTGCCCGTTTATATCTCTCTCTGTGCCTCTCTCTCTGTGTGTGCTTTTACTGATCAGCACCACACCGAACGAACTCGCGCGCCAAGCGAGTCCGACCCTCTGTCGAGAGGGGCCGGTATCCTATGGAGGCGGTGCCCATCAACGAGCGAGCATTGTTGGTGGCTTGGTTGTGCGTGTGTATGTGCGGTACACGGTATGTGCGGCACCCGTTTTTTTCTGCGGGTTTAATGCTGGAGCGTCGGGCGCCGGGACTATAAGACCATTTCTGGGTATAAAATCGACGTCTTCCGGGTACACCAGTATTACTAATATCGGTCACACCAGAGGGTCCTACTGCCAGCGGTAATTGTACCCAATGGAGTGTTCTTCCGAAATGGGTACGATGGTTTTTCGGCCGATCAGCTGACAGCCTGGGGGTGCAAGCGTGTTGATTTCAAACTGCACGAAAGTGGTGATAAAAGTACCCAGGTAAACCCGTTTCTGGTTATTGGTCATATCGTTTTATAGGGGGGCCCGTGCGGCGAAACGCGCCATTTCGAACGCAGACGCAACAGATTGCACCGCTCGGTGCAGGGCCTCGCTCGCGAACAACAAGCACACCCCTTTCTTGGAAAATCGTGTTCACACACACACAACCCTCAGAGTGCTCCGGGGCCTGATGGTCTTCGTTTTTCGTTCCTCCAAGCTGGTGGAATGAGTGATATTTTTACTGAAGCCTTGGCGGATTTCAGCTTTGAAGTCTTCTACTACGGAGATGAGCTTCCGGATTTCTTTTGGAACCTCCAAAATAGTGCCAATCTTTCAGCGCTGGGAGGGAAAAAACGGCTGATTGCAGTTGAAGGGGATTTGCGTCGCATCATCAGCGGCAGCTTCTGCCGCCAATACAAGGGCGGGAGGGATTGTCAACATTTTCGAAACAGCAAACCAGTTCGGTGGTGGTGTTCCAGGGGGAGTTGAGATGGAGGCTTCCACAGCAGCCCTCAGCCACCAGGAAGGCAGCACCATCCTCTTTTTTGACGGGAAAAATGCATTCAACAGCATGCGCCGACCTTCCATCTTACCAGCAGTGGCCACTCATACGCCACACTTGGTGAAGTTCTTCGGGAACATTTACGCTCGAATCAAGGTGAAACTTCTGTTCAAAATGAAAGATGGTTCGATCGTGGTTGCTCTTTCACAGCGCGGAGATCAACAAGGCTGAAAGTTTGGAGGGTTCGGCTTCTGGGTAGGACTCCTTGTTATCATGAAAGAGTTCAACGACAAGCCACCAGTGCCAGGAGTCAAACTCATCGGATACGTCGACCACCTCCAAGCGCATCTTCCACCAGGTTTAGCTTTTATAGGAACATGCAGGCCATTTCCACCGTAACGAGTTGGATTAAGGAACGTCTCTCCCAAAAAAGGATCGAGCTCAGTCTCCCGAACTCCGAGTGCTTTTCCCGGAAGGTCTTTGCATGTCCTCTTCGCCAAACGACGAACAGCAACAATTGACAAAAATTGGGCTGTCAGTTGCTGAAGGTGGCATGCCAGTAGTCGGGATCCCAGTAGGGACAGAAGAGTTCCAGAAGACTTTCGTCTCCGAATTCTACGGTGGTGACCCGGCGGAGTTGATACTCCGCCTAGTAACGCTTGCCGACCCTGAAGCCAGTTTGCTGCGTTTACCTGGTTTGCCACGTTCGTTCCATCTGCTGAGGACGATTGCACCGTCCATCACCAACTCTGCCGCAAGAAAACATGACATCGTGATGATGTGGGCAATGAGTGAGATCGTCCTCGGCAAGATGGCCGACAGCATGAGAATACCATCGGACAAAGAAGTACGCGCAGACCCGACGAAGAGCGAGGAGGTAGATTTCTTCAAAGGGACAGCTCGGGCACACGTGCACCTACCCATGCGTGAAGGAGGACTAGGAATCACGAGCAATGTTCTCATTTGAGAGTGGGCTTTCGTGGCAGGGCAAGCATTATTGATAGTGTTCTCCTAATCAGTGCAAGCATCGACAAGATACACAGTTGAGCAATATCTTCCCCGGCCTGCCCAGCTGCCGACAGAATTGGCTCTGATTGACGCGCTCAAGCTAGAGGAGGTCATCACCAAAGACAAGCTTAAAAAATCTGTTGGGCAGTCATGGGCTAAATGTGCCACAAGTGATGATTTAACCCACGCCCTCAAAGGAGCTTACCTGTTTGAAGCAGGGAAGGCGGGAAAACCCAGAGAAGACGGAAACTCTGAAGTGAAACATCAACCACCGTCTACCTACAACGAAAGGAACTTGGTCAACACTACCAAGTCTTTGGAGGCCAAGCCCTCCTCTCGAAACCTTTTCATGCAGCAGTGCGCCATATGGTGGACACAGACTTGCAACAGGTAGCAGGCGAGGAAACGCCGAAGAAGAGGGCATTGATCCGCTTGAAAGAAGCGAAATGCAAGGGAGCTTTGTCGCTGTTGACAGCGCAAGGGTTGTCAGCAGATGAACGAATGCTGCCTGATCTACATCGAGAGTCAATCGGTCGTGTATTGGGGAGTCACGATCAAACAGACTGCGACACAGGCAAACCTTGTGGTGCAGGTGCATTATTATCATGCAAGGACCGCTTGAGCCGAGCCCACTCTCTCGTCTGCACCAAGACCGGCGCCTCAACCTTCCTCCATTATACGATGGTTCGAGTAGTCCTCAAGACACTCCGCGAGTGCCATATGCCCATCGCCGTTGAGGATTCGTCCCCTTTTACTACAGGCACTGGTAGGGGAAAGAGGCTGTACAAGATGGATTTGGTAATCCACCCAGGATTACACGCAGGAGAGAAGGAAGAGGAACTCTGCACCAATTCCATTCTTACAGACGTCACAATCGTCAACCCATCCGCCGGTCGAAGCATCGACGAGTCGATCCAAAAGCCGGGATCCGCCCTCGAAGATCGAATACTGCAAGTTCCTCAACTCGGCACGCTTGCTGTACACCCCGTCTGAGATCTCGACATCACCCTCTCCCTGGTCAGCCCAAAGGCCATCACCCAGGAGTTTGACCATGACCGGTATCGAAGTATTTCCGTTGGGTTCATTTGCTGCACGGTAGAACGTCTCACCCTTCTCCTGAGCCTTTTCACCACCCGACTCTTTCTCTCTGCCCATCCACTCGCGGCTTCCGTCCTGCCACGGCTCAACCAGGCGTGAGGTTAGTTTGGTAGGAGAGTATAGCTTGGTCGTTGTTTATACACGACCTTTCGCACGGGACCACCCCCGCTCCTTCTCACCCTGTCGCTGCCACTGCCGCCACCGCTACGGCTGCCGCCATCGCTGCCACCGTCGTCATCGCTGCCATCTCTACCAAAGTCGCCACAAACGTCGCCACCAACGCCGTCAACGTCCATAGCCTCTAAACGCTTGTCTTCGGGAGTCGCAGCGGCCGTTGTTTTGGCTCCCTTTCGTCCACCAACCGGATGATGTTGTGCTTGCTTCGTTCCCACCGCCCTCTTTCACTGACACCTTTTGTTTGGGAGATGGGGTCAATTTAAGCGGAAGGCGGAGTGAAAGGCGGTGGCGTGCACAAGCACAACCGATGTGTGGTGGGACCATGTGTCGTTTGATCATACCCGTAGCAATCAATTACACATTTGTCACGTTTCCGTCGGAACCCTTCTCCTGCCTCTCGGGGACGTGCGGTGTTGCAGAAGCAGCCTGCAACTCCTACTGCTTTTCCTTTCGTTTGATCTCGTGCGCCTCACGCGCCGCGTCGCGCCTCTCCTTCGTCTCGGCCATCTTCTTGTCGTAAGCTTCCTGATAGCCCCAGCCTGCCCACACCGCCTCCCGCAAAGGCCAGTGATCGTGGTCTTGATCTTTCTTGCCAGCTCCGGTCGGCATCTTTCCCGGAACTGTAGCCGTCGGTCTCTTCCACCCCGCCTTACGGCACTCGGTGCAAACCACATGGTGGGGAAAGGATACATGTACCAAAGTTATTTATTCGTTTAGTTCGTCAGAAGACTTTCGAGGGTTTCAAAAACGCGTGACCTTGACTGTTGCTAGTGTAATACACCGCCAAAGCATCTTTACCTGAGACGCTATTTCTGCACCACGAATCGGCGCCCACCTGTAGTATCACCAGCTGCCTGTACTTGACACATTTCATCGTTGGGGACGGTGGGTGTGCGTCGGTTGGTTTAGGTTGGTGAATAGGCAGGTGGGCGGGTGAGTCGGTGGGTGGAGTTAGTGGGCCCTTACAACAACACATGGATTTGAATCCATGATTTCGAATTTTACTATCGACATTCAAATCTCAGGCCGAGTCTTGCGTCGTGATTCTTTCTGGATCTTTTTTTGGGGGGGGTCCTTTTCTCAGCCCGAATAGTTACTTGACAGTCTGACGCGGAGGTGTTTGGCCAATTCCAAACGCCCAAATTCCAAAACGCCCAAAATTCCCGAGGATCCCAGCGGCCGCGTTGGAAAATAGGCCCATAATTCAAACTGGATCGGCTGATAATTTCCAGTTTGTAATTGGGGGGGGTAACCCCCTGGTCACACCCCGATCGTGCCAGAACGAGGAACTACACCATTTGCTGGCCAAGCAGGGGCAAGTATCATGAAGTCATGCACAACCCCTCTGCAGGTTTCTAGAATTCAGGGCGTTCTGCGTCGTGTTGCCAGCACACGAGCCGATAACGTCAACCCTGCCACATTGCTCTGCTGACGTTTTGCCTTTGGACCGAAGAGAGCCGTTTTTGTGCCTGCTGCATGTGTGACCAGTCAAAATGCACACCAGAGAGAGGCTTTACGCCGTCGACATCCACAAACTGCAGCCAGTGGCGTGTGACCATATACATACCCTCTGCTCGCGTCCCAGAAACAGATCGTTTTGTCCAGTTTTGATTGCACACGGCCTGTAAACGTGAATGTTTGCGGGACTTGGCGGACTTTTTTCTTGTACCACCGCGTTCTGTGTCAACCGCTACCAGCCAAAAACGCATGCCAGAAAAAAGATTTCGGCCTATGACATCCACAATCTACTGCCAATGGCGTGTGATCATACACATACGCTCTGCTCGCGTCCCAGAAGCAGAGCGTATTGTCCAGTTTGATTGCACCCGGCCTGCAAACGTGAACCGAAGTGTGTTGCGATGTTGACTTTTTTTGACGTTGCCTGTTTTTTTCTGGTTGCTCCGAGCGTGATCAGTCCACAACGCACGCCAGAGAGATGCCTTTGGCGGATGACATCCACAATCTGCAGTCACCGGCGTGCGATTATACACATACCCTCTGGAGGCGACCCAAAAACAAGTCACAAGGTGTCGTGTTGGTCGCACACGATCCAAAACCGAAAACTGAAGCATGTCGTGACCCACAAAGACTTGAATCGGCCGTTTTTTTCCCCTGATAAAAACATCTGTCACGAGGAACAGTAAGAAGGTCGTTTGGATCCCAATTATTTTTCCCTTGCGGACCACCCCCCCTTGACCGAGAGCAGAAAAAAATCTCCGAGATAATCATGACGTAAGACTCGGCCTGACCATAGATATTCAAACGTTTGAATATCTATAGTGAAAGGTGTCAAAGCACCACAAAGCCTTTGAATGCTCCAAAAATCCAAAATATTTATGCAGTAGATGTTGGCAAGGGGTTCTACTTGGGTTTTGTGTAGGAATCGGGCTTACTCATTCATGCTTTAGATGCTGTGTGAGGAAATCGTGCAGATCGACTAATACCACAAACCAAGAAGTGTTGATTCGTTGAAACTCAAATTCATGGACGGCGGGCATACATTTCACCCCTCCCTCACACGAAAACAAGCTCACACCGAATCCTTCAAACTCTAAAAGCCGCCTCTCTTGCCAGTATTCTGCAAAAGACAAGTGCTTCTTATTGCATAAACTCAGCACACACCACAGACATAAAGCAAATTCCAGCACCAACCAGAACTGACAATGCCCGCGGCCGCGCCGTGCAGCTCATTTCGATTTGCTTCCCCTCCTCACCCGTCCACACCAGATGTCATTCGGCAAACAAATGTCCCTTGGAGTTGCGGCGTAACGAAGGCGCACAGCGGGTTTGTCGTATCTTTTCGTTTCACCATTCCTTTCAGCTGTGGAGATGGCTTTGTTCGGGTGCGGGTGTCTTTGTCGTCAGAGGCTTGAGAGAGTTGTTTCAAGTTGACAAGAAACTCTGAGCAGGGCAGAAGAGAACGACAGAACAGATAGAGCCCCGTCGAGCGAACCCGTGGGCCACCCATACTTCCTTGATAAGCGGAGCCCCTAAACCACACTACTTTACCCCCAAGAAAGATCTCGCGATATCTCTAGTTGTCGAGTGCACCTAACAGCCCCCACTCGGTGCTAGATACTATCGAGCGACCCGGCGATCGCATGGTCTGAGAAGCATGAAGTAGTCGAACCAGACCCAGATATTGCTGACAAATCTCCCGAGACACGACAAGAAATTCATCGTCCGAAATCCGTCAGAAATGAATCCAGTCCAATCTTCCTCCAGATGATGTGAAACAGGGTTAGACGAATTACCTTCCTCAAGAAATATTCTCAATGAGCAAATTCAACACGTTTGCTATTGAAAACTCCCCAAGTATTTCTCAAGCCGCTTTTCAATAATTTCCCTGGAAGTGTCGGCATAAAGTAAACAACCCTGCAGAATGGGGCAGACGAATCAACTCGGCAGTGATGATTCTTTTACCAGCGTGAAGGCCCGTTCACGACTGCAATTCTACCAGACGTCTCAGTCATGTCTTCTGCCTAACTAAAACTTCGAATAAGAGTCGAATCTCAATTGATTTACCACACCTCAAACAACTCTTGGAAGGGTTGAGGCCATGGCAAAAGAATGGGAAACTCTGCAAAATTCCTTCCTCCGAAATAGAGATGAATCCCAACTTTGTCGGAAAGGTCAAGGAAACACCCTCATCGGAAATGCTGCTGCTCACATGCAAACCTGCCTAAATAGTCACGAAGCCTGACAGCTCCCGTGTTGCTTCATAGAGGCAGACGAACACGATACACAAATGCTGCAAAAACACTACTTTCGCAGTGCTGCTGAGACATTTATCTTGTAAAAGCACACGATCCCCCCCCCCGAGATGACTGGAGCAACAGAATCGCGAAAGGATAAGACACAGTGCCGACACGCGATAGCAACACTCAACCGGTAAACAAGGATAGAAACGCATACGGACGAAACGAGATGATAAACACATATAGCAGGGTCGGGCTGCCTAGATGCAAAAAAAAACAGAAAAGACACAAAAAACAAATAAGCAAGAAAATATATATTGCGTCTCTCCATGCAAAAACACCGTGCGAAGAAACTTCATCAAGGAGACACGAAAAAGGAGAACATGAAAATATAATACGCCCGCCCCGCGAAGTCAACCAAGACGAATGAGGTATCGACGATGCGCGTAGAATGCCTCTCGAGGGAGCGGTTTCGTGAAGAAATTAGCGTGCTGAAGATGGGAAGGGACATGAACAATTTGAAACTCCCCGCGGTCAACACGCTCACGAAGACAAATATGCCGGATGTCAATATGGCTGGGTTGGAGGCCAGATGATCGCATCGACGTTATTCTCTTGCACGTGCGTGCAGTCTGCATGCATGCTTGGAATATAACACTTCGTAAACCACGCCAAAGTATGCCTCCTTGACCCCCTCACCCATCGCAACATACTCGGCCTCCGTCGAGGAGAAGGCGACGCTACGCTGCCCCCTCCCGGCTCCTTAAAGTCCCCACCGCAGCAAGCCCGCTAGCCTCGCTCCGCACCGCGCAAATCCAGTCCTCCGCATGCTAGCCCGAAACTGCCTGATCCGAAGTCTCCGGTTTCGCAAAGCGGAAGCGGGGCCTCTGGGGAGAGGGGGGGAGGAACAGAGGGAAGATCGTCGTCGTATAGGTTGCTAGTGACGCGGTCCTGCGCCAGAACCGCGAAACCTGCCGGAGACACCCGCACCATCGTTGTCCCACGCTCCAGAGTGAAGCGCGTTCCAGTCTGGATGCCGCCGTCAGGGTCGCGCACGTGAACCAAATCCGGCACTGGGTCATTCGCAGGCGGTGGCGACGGTATGGGACCCCCCGCAGCCGTACGCGTAGCGACCGGACGGACTGAAGACGCCGACTCCATCGCAGCAAGGTGTCGGCGGCGTGCGGAAATTAACTGCCGAAGAAAGTCGAGTAGGCGCCGCCCAGAAGTCTGAGGAGCCCTCCTAGCCCCGCCGTTAAGGACAGGAAGACCACCAGATGCCGGCTGTAACGTTGCAACAACGGCGTGGGTAGAGAACGGCGACGAGGGCCTGACGCTCGCCTGCCCTGTGTCGGCTTCAGTAGGGGACGACGAGTTTCGGCGTCTTCCCCGAGTCAGGATCGACGGCGTCCATAGAAGACGATACGGTGCCCGCTCTCGACTCTGTAGCTTCGGCACGAACGGCGTTGAAGAACTGTCGCACTCGCCCCGCTCGTCGCTCCCCAGGGGATCACCGGTTGCAGAACCATAGCTGCCACTAGTCAACGCAATTGTTCGCGGGCAGCAACCTCCTTGTTTCAATCAACGCCGCTGTCTGCAGTGGCAAGACACGGCGCACTCGAGTCATCACCCCAGTCTTCCTGCAATATTCTACGCGCTTCAACCCATCCCATGCTCGCTCTACCTTTATGCTCCCCTTTTCTCGTCTGCATAATCTCACTCGCTCTCTCCACTCCCTCTCCATCCGGTTTTCTCTTTTGGTTTGTGTCGTCGCTCTCTGCGGCGGCATTCTTCGCTTTCCCCGCCGCGTTACGCTTGCGTGCCCAGAAACACTCCCGACAACCATGGCTGAACCGGAGAAGAAGGACATGAAGAACGCTTTCACCGATAAGGGAGCGGTGAGAACAGGACATATGGTTTCGGCGGCATCTTTTTAAACGGGAACACTTTTCGTCTTGAAGGGGTAGCTTCAGAGTCGCATGGAGCACTTACCCAAACACTGCGCCCTCTTGGTCTGTATTGGCCACGAAGAGTCTTTGGGTCCGAAGTCTACATCCTATGTTTCGTGGTTCAAATACAATAGAAGCTCCGGTGAAGCGTGTCACCTCAAAGAAGGACCGCCCCCTGGCCCCGCCCGCGCTTGTGTATCCAACCCAATCCCCGCACACTTTGACGAGCAGGAGAAGAAAACGAAGGAGGAGAAGCCGGACGACAATAGCCGCCGGCTATTCGGCGGTGGATCCGGCACGTCGTCGTCCTCCGAGTGCAGTTCCATCTCCAACGAGGAGAGGTGAGCAGAGACAAGACGCGACAGGCAAGAGAGGGGAACAGCGGACACGCACATGCATCGAGAGGCCCCTAGAAAAATACCGCATGCTTCCCGCGTGTCCGCCTTTGCCCCGTAGAAGGCCGGTCAGCAGGCTTTCAGCTGCTCCACACACTGACCGTCTCTCGCAACGAGACTTTTCGGAATTTATCCGCATCTCTTATGATAGTACGATTGACAAAGTAGTTTTCATCAAGATAGGGGTTAATATTATTCTTTAAGTTCTTTATCTTCAGTTGTTTTAATATCCCCATTATCAAAAGACCATGAAGCTAAAAGGCATGAAGGAAACAGTAAAGTTGTAAGTATAACAAAAAGAAGAGAAATTCCATCAACACCTAAGCCCAAATTTATATTTGCAACAGGTAACCATAACCAATTAACAACGTATTGAAATTTAGGTGTAGATTGATCAAAACCTAACCAAAGTAAAAGAGCAAACACAAATACTACGGACTACACTGGGGGTGTTCACGTTCCAGAGATGCTCCATTCTTTTTGCTGCACACATCGGGAGCGGCCGCACCCTCAGCAACCAACGCCAAGTCACGCCCCTAAACAATTTCCACCACCAAGCAGACTCGACGAGATGGTGTCGCTGAGTCGTAAAATTGAAAAGTGCGCCGTGCATGCCGCTCACCGCTCACCCCTATCGAGAGTCGGTATTGTCGTGTTGTGCTCGCAATGCAAGGGCTGGCTCACGGATCCACTCCAAACCTCTTGAAACGATTGCGGGAGTTCTTCGAAAATGGTACCGTCCAGAATGTGATGGAACACCCGCAGCTATTGCGCGTGCGGTATTTTCTCGCTTATTTTGCGTTTCGGAGTTTCGCCGCATTTGGAGGCACTGGCCACGGAGGGTTTCATATCAATGGAGTCGAACGCGGATCGCAAAACAAAAGAGTTTGGACGGCGCGTTAGCTCGCCAATAGTTAGGTCAGACGGCAGGTAGTATCGGTATGACCGTAGTGCCATGAGGGACACGAAAAAATGAGGGAATAAGAGGTAGAACCTCGTGCGTATCCTTACGCTACGTTTCGGTTCTTGTTTTCCAGGCACCAGGCCAAGATCGCCCGCAAGAACAAGGAGGAGGAGAGGATGAAGGCCAAGCAGGAGGCCAAGCTGAAGGCCGGCGCCGAAGGGCAAAAGCCCGGCGAAGTGAGTTTTTGATCTGCCGAGGAACACATACGACAAATGTGACTACCGACATGATTGAGCCCACAGAGCGGGCAAGCGGTGGACGTCAAGAGATCGACCCCAAAGCCTCCCTCTTTTAGTCATCGCCCTCTCCCCTCTCAACCTGCCCCACTGTTGTCCCCTCCATTCCCCCCCCCGCCCGTGTCCGCGCATCTTCCCCTCTATTAACCCCCCCCCTCCCCTTCGTTTTTTTTTTTTTACCTCCGGTTTTTTTTTGGCGGTAACCATAATGGTGGTCGAGTAGATCATGTTCTGCGGGGTGGAGAACCCTCGCTCCGCGCAAGGGGGATGATCGCACCACGTTGTGTTAAAATGGTCAAGCACCCTCGAGGCAGTTACACAGTGCTTACAACTGTCTCTGGAAGTGAAAGCACCAGAAAATAAATTAATTCATACGCAGCTGTCATCCGTACGCAAGGAAGTAAGCACAAGATGCCGAACACCCTTAGCAGGATGCAGCGCACCCTTCATGCGACTCGCCGAATATCTCACGGCGCTTCGCGCTTGGTGATGTGAGAGCCTGGTCCGGTGAGAACCCGGCGTGCTCCGTCCCGGCTTTGTAGGGATGCGAGGTCAATGGTCTAACGACTACGACATGCACGACTATGAGTACACCCCCCCTCCCCTTCGCCCCCTCCGGTGTTCACCATCGGGTTTGGGTTGTCGTCGCTTGGCAACGACGTTGTAAAACAAGCCGCCCCTCCCAGGTGTTTGCCATCGGGGTTGGGTTTTCGTCGCTTGGCAACGACGTTGTAAAACAAGCCGCCCCTCCCAGGTGTTTGCCATCGGGGTTGGGTTTTCGTCGCTTGGCAACGACGTTGTAAAACAAGCCGCCCCTCCCAGGTGTTTGCCATCGGGGTTGGGTTTTCGTCGCTTGGCAACGACGTTGTAAAACAAGCCGCCCCTCCCAGGTGTTTGCCATCGGGGTTGGGTTTTCGTCGCTTGGCAACGACGTTGTAAAACAAGCCGCCCCTCCCGGTGTTTGCCATCGGGGATGGGTTTCGTCGCTTGACAACGTCGTTGTAAAACAAGCCGCCCCTCCCAGGTGTTTGCCATCGGGGTTGGGTTTTCGTCGCTTGGCAACGACGTTGTAAAACAAGCCGCCCCCCCCGGTGTTTGCCATCGGGGTTGGGTTTTCGTCGCTTGGCAACGACGTTGTAAAACAAGCCGCCCCCCCCGGTGTTTGCCATCGGGGTTGGGTTTTCGTCGCTTGGCAACGACGTTGTAAAACAAGCCGCCCCCCCCGGTGTTTGCCATCGGGGTTGGGTTTTCGTCGCTTGGCAACGACGTTGTAAAACAAGCCAATTCACTTCGTGAACTCGGCAACCAGGTTACCGTTTTTTTTTTTTACCTCCGTTTTTTTTTTTGGCGGTAACCATAATGGTGGTCGAGTAGATCATGTTGTGCGGGGTGGAGAACCCTCACTCCGCGCAAGGGGGATGATCGCACCACGTTGTGTTAAAATGGTCAAGCACCCTCGAGGCAGTTACACAGTGCTTACAACTGTCTCTGGAAGTGAAAGCACCAGAAAATAAATTAAGTCATACGCAGCTGTCATCCGTACGCAAGGAAGTAAGCACAAGATGCCGAAAACCCTTAGCAGGATGCAGCGCACCCTTCATGCGACTCGCCGAATATCTCACGGCGCTTCGCGCTTGGTGATGTGAGAGCCTGGTCCGGTGAGAACCCGGCGTGCTCCGTCCCGGCTTTGTAGGGATGCGAGGTCAATGGTCTAACGACTACGGCATGCACGACTATGAGTACACCCCCCTCCCCACCACTCCAACAAATGTACCACGCGCAGGAGGGGAAGGACGGGAGCCGCGGGCTGTTGACCGGAGAGTGCAACTCCAGCTCCGACGAGGAGAGGTGAGCAGGGGGCTAGACTAGTGTTGTATCTCGGGCCGCCTGGTCCGCCACGCGAAAAGTATATATCCGTTGTACTGTAGGTTGCCAAGAAGGCGCACGAGAAGAGCACCACCGGCAACTGGCTCGTGGCTTCCTCACGAAAGCGGAGTTCGACAGGTGGGTGCTGCCGGAGAACATGATCGGACCCAAGGACGCTTGAGCAAAGCAAGCCTCGTTCTTGTACCTTGCATGGACGTTTCCCTTGATTTTCAGCATGTAGAAACACGTCTCGAACGTTGTGCACTGGAGCCCGGAATAATGTGACGGAAAGCGAGAAAGAGAAAAAGATTGACAGGGTGGGGAGGGGAGAGGCTCCGGGCTCGAGGGTTACAGAGGTTGGGTAGGGACGGATGCCAGTGAGCCAGAAAGCCTAAAGGGGAAGAGTGTGCCGCGGTGCAGTGCACGTATTGGTCACTTCCCTGCCACGTTATACCTCCTCGCTCCCACCCTTGACCCCCTCCGCCTCTTTCCCCGCCCACCACCACTCCATCACTGCCATTCCCACTCGACCATGTCCAGGTCCTGGCCCGCGGACCCCACCAGCCGCGCCTCCGTGTCACCCATCACCGGGCTGCCCAACCGGGCCAAGCTGCTGCAGGTGCACGTGCAGTTTGACAAGCTGGAGATCCTCGAGTGCCTTGAGTCCGGCATCCAGTACACGTATCCGCAGCCAACTGAGGAAGAGCTGCACCGTGTCTACGACATCGAATACAACAAGGCGTATGGTCGTGATTTCTCGGCGGGCATCCCGGACTTTGTTGAACGGCGGGCTGTGGCGCAGCGCACCTTCATCACGCATCACCTGGGCCTGGAGCCAACCGCGACCGCCGACATCAACACCACCAACCTGGGGCGCGTCGTGGAAGTTGGCGGTGGCTGGGGCTCCCTGTCGTCTACCCTCCAGCCCCTGGCATCCTCCGTCACCTGCTACGAGCTCGACTCGGCCTCGGTCGACTTTATGCGGGAGCGTGGGGTGGACGCCCGCGTGGGCACCCTGCAGCAGGCGGCGGAGAAGGGCGACGTCGAGGCGAATAACATTGACCTCATCGTGTCATCCATGATGCTGGAGCATCTTCCTCGGCCGCTCGACTCGTTGCGCGCCTGGGGCCGCAAGCTCAAGGCTGGCGGGCACCTGTTTGTCGAGGTTCCGCTGGAGAACCCCATCCCGAGATGGTGGGGCATGGACCCGGCCGCGCCGTATTGGGTCGGCCACATTACCTTCTTCGGGCCAGGCCACCTGGAGGCCATGCTCGAGGCGGCGGGCTACCAGGTGCTTGCCTCCACGCCCCACGACCATCCCGTGTCCCCCAACTACACGATGCCTGGAGGAGCCCCTTACGACATGGGCAATGTCCCCGAGGCGCTCGACACACAGGTCTCGACAAGCGACAACCCGAGGCTCCTGCGCGTGTTTGCCCGCAAGGTTGCGGCGTGATGTGGGGGATAGATCCCCGTACTCGCGGTTGGTTGTGGCTGGCTGGCAGGCTCGAATCAGCATCATCGAAGCGACACGCCGCGACGCTTTCAGATGCTGGTGTGTTCGAAAGCATGAATTTCTAGGCAAACAAAGCTTTTGGGAAAAATGCTCCAAGCGTTGACTGGTGGTTTTGACTTGAACGCTTTTGTGTCAAACGTGTTCTGACACAACATACGTTTGTGTAGCCGGTGGCCGGTGTCAAAGGACTCTTGCTGTTTGACGGTTATCTGTCGCAGCAACAAGTGGAGCTGGTGACGGGGCAGTGGCACCCGTAGATCAGGTAGCCCGCTTACTGTGCCCACATGCATACATCGGATCGGCGCATCGCTTGGGCCGAGCTGGACAGAAACAGAGCGCCTGGGGTGCAGAGAAAGGCAGGAGCCACTTCTCCTCTCTCTTCATGGCCTTGGTCTTGCCACTTTTCGTTTTTTTGCTTGTTGGCAGGCATGTACATTGCTTGAAATGATAGTAAATACGACCGTTCAAACGAGGTACATAATTCGTGCAATCGCCACCATCCCGCCAAGGGCTCCCGTTAAGCGCGTTGCTGACAACCACGAAATCACGAACTACAGTGTTGGCGTCCGAGCTCCGTTAAATATATTATTTCTAAATAACAATACCGAAATCAAAACATGCCGCTCCTCTCCCGTGTCACAGAGGATGAGTCCGAGCAGCAGAAACAGGAAGGCAGGGAAACAAGGCAACAGGCCGACACCACCGTGGTCATTGTCGACGACAACACCCTGCGGCGCAACGGCGTGCTGATGAAAAAAATCTTCTAAATCCTGGCGACAGCATTGATCATAGCTACGGGTGGATAGGCCACCGAAGCATTCACCTAAGTCCTCCAATCTCCCCTCTCCCCCAACGCGCCTCCCTGCTCCCAAGGGCACAAATGCGTACTTCTTCGACGAGCCGACGGTCCGTGCCAGGGTCGTGACTCGCATCGAAACATATCCTTCCGAACAGCGCCCCCCGGTACCGAGCAGGCAAATTCCGGTACGTTTCCCTCATGGCCGGGACAAGCAGCCGAACACTCTAAAATACGGTCTTCTCTCTCATAAATTCGGCCGCTATAGTGCATCATCTCTTGTCGCCCCTTCCGTGAGATACACGTCATAGCATCCACACTCGCCTTCCGCTCGCCCGTCGCCTCTCCCGACAAACCTTGAACAGGGTGAACGCCTTGGGAAACGTTGGAATCGAGGAAGGCGGGTCGTGTGTATATTCGCCTTCTTGCACCACGGAAAACGCCACCCAAATAGCCTACAGAGCTCGCACCACCACATTTCTGACTAGACTTGCAGTTGTCTCGGCACAGATACCATAAGAGGCCGTAGGATGGTACCCACCCTAGACCGATATTCCAAGCTCGATTTCTCCGCAATTGAGATTGTACCATCAACAAAAACGACGGTTTTGGAAACATCTCGTTTACGGGTTTCGGCGCCCCTCTGGTTATGGACCCATGAAGGTTTGCAAGCTGGTCTAGGGGGGGTGGCATCTCACTGCCTCTTTGTGTAGTACGACTGCTGTAATGTCAATCCCGGTGGAAAAAACGGCTCGCCGCCGGGTGCGAAAATCCACACCGAAATTCCACACAAGTCTGTTATACTCTTAGCCCTGGTAACAATTACTCCGTATTGTTTCTTCTGCAAACTTAGTCCTGATTACAGTGTCAGGGACGGCGCTGCTGTGCAACGGCTAACCCGGACCACTCATTGAAGGCCCGACCTCTACCTCTGTCCACTAGTCGGCCAACGGGTTTCTAGTGAGTGATGTGGATCGGGCTAGCCTCTCGTTCATTCATTGTGACAGAAAACTAACTCTTCGCGTTGAGACGCGATCTACCCTTTCCTCCTGTCGGTGATGTAACGGGGGTCTACCGCAGGTCACATAAGATATCACACCCGTGGCCCGGTTTCAAAGCTCGACTACTCCACGACGAAGAGGGTGAATAAGTCGAACGATGCGTCTTCGGAGGGCTTTCGACGAGATAGTTTCAACGCCGTCATTTCCGGCACCGCCAGCCTCCTCTGCTGCTGTGGAGTGATCAAGTTTCGAAAATGCGCCCAAGGGGTTGTGATATCTTGCTTCACCTACGGTACCCATCCCCCTCGCCGACATCTTTGCGGCGGTGGCTCAAACAGTTAACTGATCCGCCTGACCCGCCACAGATTATACTCTCACTAGCCAATGTTGGGGGAAAAAAGCGGCGTCGGAAAGGAAGTTGGAACTATAATAAGGGTGCAAGAAATGGCACCTAGAATGATTGTCAAGCTCGACTTATCCACAACCAAGGTTGTGCCAACTCAAACAAATACGGATCTGGAACGAACACCTCCCCGAGGGCCTTCCGTTGACGTATCGTGCTCGTTCGGCACCCACGTGATTGTTTGTGGCGCAATCGAACTTTGAAGCCTCGGTCTAGGAGGGGCATCATCTCTTGCATCCTTACGATACACTTGAAACTAACGAATACCAGGAATGGTCCGCACCGTTGGCTAGCAATAAATCTATTCCCGAGCGGAAACTATACCCTGCTGCTGGTCCGCAGGTAACAAGTATTTTTTTTACATTTTGAAACGGAAGAAAAATGGGTTAACAACACACCTGAGGTGTGCATCATTACACCAAAGTACCGCAAGGATACGAGAGAACGCACGGGGGTGCGATCGATTTTCAAAGCGTAATTTCTCAAAAACCAGGAGAGTGCGAACGCCAAGTGAAACCTCTCAGGAAAGCCCTTGATGAGATTTTTCAAAAGCACCCTTTTCGGCAGTGGTACCCTCCTGGTGGTTGAGAAAATACGCTTTGAAAATCGATCGCACCCCCGTGCGTTCTCTCGCATCCTTACGGTAGTGGCGACGAAAAATTAAGCTGAGACGGTGGAGACGAAAAAAAAAATTGAGCCTTGATCCGATCATGACGTGCGTGCCTGATCTCCGGGAACCTCTCTGTACAGTTCCGGCCAACCACCCACCACTCACCATGAGGAAGACAAAGTACACCACAAGAATCGGCGTATAAACATGTCGAACAGCCCAAAAAATGTCATGCCGATCGCAATCAGTAGCCCTTTCTGCGAAGATCTCCAGCACGGGTACTCCCTTAGGCGCGCGCCGATTAGGGGAGGGAAGAGCCTGCTGCCATGGGATGGACAAATGTCCCCTCCGTGAGCATCACGGCTGGCATCATCGTGCCGTCGGCACGTGATCTCTATGACGGCTTCCTGTCGGCTGGGCGTACACACACGCGGGGTGACTTGGTACTTGCGTTCTGTAGCCGTTCGTAGGTTGTGTTGCCACTCGCCCACTCGTTCTCTCCCTCTCTCCTGTCTCTGCGAGGGAAAACACCTACTACTACGATACTCATCTGGAGGTAGGACAGCAGTCGAGGCTAACCGGCCGGGAGCTACATCTGCAGAACGGCAACGGGCATCCAAAGCAACGGAAGAAAGGGTACCACCAACACCACAATGGTCCACCGCAAGAATGCGAGAGAAGGCGCCCCCCCGTGCACCGATCTTCAGAACAGCTCGATTGCTTCACAACCAAGCTTGTGATAGCACCGAAAATGTCTATACCTGAAACGATGCCGACGCCGTTCAGGAAGGCCCCGTAGTCTCTCCGCGTCGGGGCCAGCTTTTTTTTTTTGTAGGAAGCAAGGAGAAGCAGGTGACGGGCGGCGGCGGCGATAGCGAAAACAGCGTTGAATAACGCGATATGCGGGCGGGTCGCAAAGAAAAATCGCCCAACAAGACTACTGCCAGGGTGAAACGCTTGCGGGGGAGCGGGGCATATTTGGGGGACACTACAGTTTTCCGGCTTGCGTGTTCAGCAACCCATAAATCTTCCCACACCGAACCGAACAAGTCGCCCACGGCCCACGCACAAAGACACCGCTGCAAAACAACCGCGGTAGTAACACGCGGTATCAAGGTTTCGCTGATAGACCAGGCCCCGTTGAGGTGCAACGTTACTTCATTGGTCAACCAAGAGGACAGTTCGTTCAGCCAATAATAACGGCGATGGAACTAGAGAAATACAACACGATCCTGTGTAGTAAAGCGC